CTCTCTCTCTCTCTCTCTCCTCTCTCTCTCTCCCCTCCTCTCTCTCTCTCTCTCCCCACTCATCTCTCTCTCTCTCCCCACTCTCTCTCTCTCTCTCTCTCCTCTCTCTCTCTCTCTCTCCTCTCTCTCTCTCTCTCCCCACTCTCTCTCTCTCTCTCTCCCCCCACTATCTCTCTCTCTCTCTCTCAATACATGTCTCTCAGACAGTCAGTCAGTCAGGTCCATGTATCAGTTGTTTAGTAAATCAGTGTCTGTCTGCCTCTCTCTGCTCACCCCTTCCCCCTTACCTGGTGATGGAGACCTGGACTCTGACCTAGGTGGTGGTGAGGGTGACCTGGATTCTGACCTTGACCTCTTTTTCTTCTTTCTGTGTCGACGTTCTTCTTCTTCAGACTCTGACTAAAATACAAAGAACAACAGACAATGTAAGCATCATAGCCTGGAGTATAACAGTTTTGCTAATCAATAATTCATCTACCATATTTTTAAAATGAATACATGCACACTAAAGGGCAAACAAACACCTTGAATGTGTAAATGTTTTCATCATCCTGTAGAATTAGAATCAGGAATATATATCAATCATGTTCCAGCACTGAAATGGTAAAATTCAAGAACTAACCCATGTTGTGGTATCACTTGGATAAAAGTGGCAATGTCAGTGAGTTGTTGGATTTTACCATGCAAGGTCCAGAAAAAAGATTGATATATAATTCTGAAACATCTCTAGTGTGTTTGGACGGAAATGCCACATTTGCCAAGTTCAATTATTATGATTCAATGGAATACTTGACTGAAAAAATTGCATAACCAGTGATCTCCCGTGTATACCATGGTGAGGTTAGAAAAAATGTGGGCTTGTACAGTTCCCTTCATTCAAATAAACAAGAAATCCCAATACTTATCCCTGAAAAATAATAAATGACTTTTGAGACACAGTGTAATTTAATAATGAGCATAACTTGAGTAGGAACTACAGCTATCTTCTCAACACGAGATCTCAGTAATTACAACCTCATCCTCTCTTTACTAATTACAACCTCACCCTCTCTTTGTCTCTCTCTTTGTCCTTGTCCACATCCTTGTCCTGCGACCTTGACCTAGACCTCTTGCTGCGGTGTTTCTTTGTCTTCTTTTTCTTGGGATATGAGCGGTGGTGGTGCATACAGGCCTCCTCCAAGGCTGCTATGAACTCCTTATATAGCCTTATCCTCTCAGACTCTGGATTGATGATTTGAAAGTTGGAATCTGCTTCAAATCTTTCACGTACCTGAACAAAGAGGACTGGCCATGACAGTACAGCTGTACATAACTCTTATAAAGAAACATTCAGTGACATGTTTAACATTTCAACCTTAAAATCTAATATCATAGCTTGTGAATGGCAGCAAGTTTTAATATGATACTTTACTTAGCCAGAAGGAAATTTCATGATCACTTTCCTACTAATAATCATTTTAATAAAAAATCAGTTATGGAGCTTACATATAAGCATTTTACAGTATCTAAAGAATATTATCTTATATTCTAATTAAGTTAATAACTAAAATGTCTCCTCTCCAAGGACATAGTTTCTGTTGGCACTCACATCTTCCCACTGTGTGGTGGGTTCCAAAGGGGGCGTCGCCTGCTTCAGCATCGACTTGAACGCATTCTCCAACTTCTTTTGCTAGAAATACAGAAACAAAATAAATAAATTAATTAATTAATTAAAAATAACTCATAATCATGCACTTTTGTAGACCCCCCCCCCACACAAACACACAATAATTTATAACTAATGACCCTTATTAACGGCTATAGGCAAACTGTAACAGCATAGAAAAACAATTATGAACTCTCATTTACATCTATCATAGGTAAACTGTACAAGCCAAGAAAACGTAGACCCTCATCAAAAATTGTTGTCAAACGTAACCAATATCACAATGTTTATTTCACAAAGTTTTTAATATCACAATGTCATTAAACTTTTCAACCCTCATTTTTTTCCCTTTCATTGTTCCTGACTATTTCCTGACAACTTCCCACTCTCACCTTTCTACTTTCTTCCTTCATTCTCTCTTTCTCTCTGGCTTCAGCTTTTTCTATTAACTGAAAGAGCAATACAATTGTACATACAGAAACTGGGGCAATTAATTCACACTATATGACCTGAAATGGAGTATTAATTTGAACAAAAAGTTTGTCTGTTTTCTCATAATTCATTACTACAGTTTGCATGTCATTTATTTTAATTAATACAAGTTAATGTATTCTCAAACCCCTGTCCTCTTCATTTACTCATTACCTGCACTCATATCAATAAACTCTTCATGCCATTTGCACTGAACTGTCAAACTAGTACAAGTGAAATGATGAGCTATCTGTAGTCATGTGGTTTTATACTCTACACTCTATACTTTATGAAATCCAATATATACTTACACTATTATAGGTCAGTTTAACATTGCCAGCATCCAGAGTTTTGGACCTGCTGTCTGACTTTAGCGACTTCACAAAATCTTCATAGGTTGTCTCTACATTGATCAGGAAGCCCTTCTCCTGCAATTGAAAATCTCCTTTTTTTCTCTTGCATGTTTACTCATTACTTCATATATAAAACTGTCAATGTTTCAAAGCAAGTGATACCTTATTCACTGTGTGCCACTAGATCTTGATTTTTTGCGTTTTTTGTCCTTCTTTTGTTAACTTAACACAAACTGATGTCTTGAGAAAGACATGATGATAATAAAACAGACATTAGTGCTACTATGTTATTGTGGTGTAAATCACCCGTCCCCTTTTTTTTTTGGGGGGGGGGGGGATACAAAATGAATAAAACGTAAATGTAAGCCTTAATGTATAAAATAAAACATATTTGTCCACACTGTCTTTAGGTTTTTTAAATGATAGAAACAGCTTCACCATACATCACAAAATATGTGGCACAGATGGCATGAAATGTAAAAAAAAACAAGGCAGCAAAGCTGTCAAATGTACAGACAAAAAACAGAAAATAATGATGCAAAATAGGTCATTTTGCCAATTTTGATGCAATAATAAATAATGCTTATAATAGCACTGTTAGTCAACACTGAATTTTAATCATGCACAACAGGTAACATGGTCAATAACAGGAGCTGACCCAGAGATATTTTCTGACAGTATTCCAAAGTATCTTTGTTGATCCATCCTCTATTTTGATGATCATCCAACAGAAAAAAAAATAAATATCAGTCAATATAAACTTAAAAATCCGAACGTCTTCCGGAAGCTGACCCAGAAGATGGTCTCAATCCATCCCTTCAATAAGATTACAGTATCAGGACCATGAGAGACCAAAGTCACATGATGAAAGTCTCAATATTTGAAAAATGATGACAGTGCATAAAATAATATTACATAATGTTTGAAAACATAAATAACATACAACTGCTTATGTGGAAATACAGAAAATGTGCAGAGCTTCAGGCGGTTAAATATCACAAATGCAAGTGTTTGAGAAAAAAGTTATTAAGGAAAATAAACAAAACTAGAAAAGCACTCCGAGAGTGCAGACCTCTGCCCAGGCAGCAATTGTTGATTATATATATATATATATATATATANCAAAGGTTCATAATAATAATAATAATAATAATAATAATAATAATAATAAATAAATAAATAAATAAATAATTAAATAAATAAACAACAACAACAATAATAATATAGTAGCTGTCCTCAAAACACATCAGTGCGTCATCCTTATCCATGTCTTGTTTCAGTTATTCTAAGGTAAACACTAGTACTGTGATTGAAGCACTTACTTTGCAGGTCTGTGTCATCTGTAAAGGTGGGGTTGTCTAGTAAGAGAGCCTGACCCTCTGACCATGTGGTCCTATAGGTCAAACTGGGCATGTTGTCCAAGATTTCATTGAACACCTTGATGTTCCTCTTACGCAGAGTTTTAGCTTCTTCCTGAGAGCAAAGTAGCACAATATTTATTCAATACAAACATGCTTTCAAAGCAGAACAATATTAATTCAGTAAAATCATCCTTTCAACTTATAACAAAATAAGCAGCACAATGAAGTAAAACAGTCATCCTTTCACAACTTGTCATCCTACAAAAGTGGACAGCTGCACAGCAAATGTCTGCCCGTCTTTTAAAACATAAACCTTACAAATTATTTATATGTACTTGATATTTTCTCTTCCTTTTTTTTCAAGATCTGACACCTTATCACAAAGTTCTATACATTTTACAGAACATCTAGAGAAAGACATTTTTTCACCTTTTCTCTTTTGGCAATGACATGAATGACGTCCTCATAGATATCTCTCCTGTCTCTGTCAGGAACATTCTTCCATATCTCCAGCTCAGCAAATAGCTGGTCTGCACGCCTAATCAATCAATAATTGAAATTAACCTAAGACTTACTGAACACATTCTGTTAAATTGAACTGTTTGCATTTCAACGTTCAGCACATTATGGACAGCGTTGTCTGCAGTCTTTATATGAGAAGATATTTTCTCTTTTTCATATTTAAAGAAAAAAAACTTAATTCTTTGACTCTTTAGCATATTTTTCCTTTTTGTATAACAGTCCTTTCTCTTCAAATAATACACATACCTGTATTTGATTGTGGAATGAATTTTGTCTGTGTGCAACAAGAAGTTTTCTAAATCCTCCTTTGCTTGTTTGGCCCGCAACCTTTCTTGTTCCTGGAAAAAGATACAACTGAACAAGATCTTCCTAACACAAAAAATGCATTAGTAATCTTGACATTAGTAGTCAACAAGACATATTTACAGTATTCATAACTTGAGTAGTCAATTAGACATATTTATAGTAATCTTAACTTGAGTAGTCAACTAGACATATTTATAGTAATCTTAACATTAGTAGTCAACTAGACATATTTATCCAAATACCTGCCACAGAAATATCTGATGACAGTTTAAGAAGATTTATTTTTTTTCATTACTATTGCTTCGGACTTTCATGGCCCTGTACATTGTTAACTAGACAGATTTTGTCACTTGTCAGTTAATGATCATGAAGTCCAAGAAGAGGAAGTGGGATAATGAAGGTTGTCCAAGAAGAGGAAGTGGGATAATGAAGGTTGTCCAAGAAGAGGAAGTGGGATAATGAAGGTTGTCCAAGAAGAGGAAGTGGGATAATGAAGGTTGTCCAAGAAGAGGAACCGGGATAATGAAGGTTGTCCAAGAAACATGAGTGACTGCAATTTAAAGGACAATCCACCTCACAGTAATCTCTTTAAAGCAGAACATCTCTGACACTATTAATACCAGTTACTATGACAACATCATGACCTGGAAGCCCTGTTATATACCTGTTGTAAAAGAACTCTACACGTCATGTAACATATAACAGGGTTTCCACTAGATTTTGCATGCCAGGGTCATTTTGACCCCCACTTTTTAAAAATGGGGGTCATTTTCAAAATTTAGGGGTAAAGAATTCATAAGTTTGAAATAACATTGAAATAAATATTACAAGCAATAAAAACAACAAAAGTCATAAGTGTTATTTATGGGGTACTCTGCCACCAGACCATCCCTATCAATGACAGACCATACCATGTGAAAGCTGTAGGTGTAGGCCATTTAAAGAATGTCACTAATGGAACTTTCTGAATTTTATTGACATTTACAAATTTTACAGACTTTATCAAAGGCCCATTCGGTCTGACAAGCTTGAAAATTCTGTCAGATTAATATTAATATTAATACTAATATTAATATATATATATAAACTTGTAGAAAAAATATAGACAAAAAATTATTTGCATAACAAGTTTTATTTTATCTAATGAAAAATGCGTTGTAAATTGACACAAGGGCTAAAAAAATACAATGAAGAATGTGTAGCCAGTAATATCAAACATATAAAATAAAAACGTCTGTTAATCAGAAAACTAGTTCACCCGTTGTTTTTGACAATAACATAATATGCATTGTGAAACCGATAAAGCCCCCTTTACACTGGACGGCGTCCTTTCTGCGTCCAGCAGTCCGGCCCCATTTGAGAGTTTAAAAATTATAATATTTTACGTGCCGACAACTGGCCGATCATTGAGCATTCATTCTGATACAAAATTAATGCTCGTGCCTCTTTATTAAGACCACAGCGATGCCAAATTTCATGTTCGCAGAGAGGACGCAGAAAGGACGCCGTCCAGTGTAAAGGGGGTATAAGTAAGGCAGTCGCTTTCATACAATTGAAACTTTGATAGGGACTGTCCACCCTGAGTCTAAATTCCTTCTTCATTTTATTTCTTTCTGATAACAAGTAATTCAAACTGTGAGCCTTCATCGAGTTCATGTGCACTTTCTCCAACTAGTGGTCGTGAACTGTAGGGTGCATGTACCGGTACATACATCTGTATCTGTCCATATACGTCTAAAGAAACCACTACTGGTCCAGGTGTATGATAGACAGGAAGAAGAGACATACATATGCTCGATAATTTTCAGAACCCGTAATAAAGCAGTAAGATTTATGTTGCTGTTGATAATAATATTAACTCCACACATCTTTTTCCTCTCCTCCAGATTATAAGTCCGCTGGGGCCCACCTTCTTTCCAATTTCAATATCAATCCGTTTCTCTTCCTCACTTCGTTTTCATTTTTGCTACGCTGTGCACCAACGAAGTATTTTAAGTTCAACAACGTCATTTTTTAAACAAAACGCTTAGCCATGACTACTGTGCACAACTGATAATGAAAAAACAGAGGAACAAGTCTGTAAAAAACGCGAAAAGCGTGAGCACATGTGTGCGGCCATTTTGTGGTGTAAGGGTATCACGGAAACGAAAACGAGACTGTATATTACGTCATCCCCAATCTCAGCCAGTCACAAAATAGTATATGTGAGTGAAACTGAGGTTAATAAATTATGTATAATTAGCTGGGAACTCCCCGGAATTTTCATCCCGTCTCTTCGAATGAAGTAAAAATATCATCCAGAAAGGAAACAAAAACGTATTCCTTGTATTTACACATTCCCAGCCAGTTTGAAAACTGGCCGGATAAATTAGATAAATGTGCGTCAAATGGACGCAATACATTTAAAAATGGGGGTCAATTTTGATAAAAAAGCGTCAGGGACGCACAAATATTGCGCTAACGGAAACCCTGATATAACATGGTTTGACACAAGTTAACAAGCTTGAACTAGGTACTTTGTGGTAAGAATACACCAGCTTATAAAACATTGACAATTTATAATATTATTTTTTCTTGGTAGTTACTTAGCTAGGAGAGGGTGCCTACCTTTTCTTCCTTGCTTCTCTGTGTCTTGTATGCATTAAATGCCTGCTTCTTTTCATTCAGGTGTTTCAGGGCACCATATCTGGGGTCATTGATGATCAACTTCATCACCTGTTCCCAAGTGGTATTGGAGGGGACGTCCTATACAGTGGGAAATATATATAACACATGATACACAGGGTACAACACAATATCAATATATGGGGTTATGAATATAGATAACCATGTTACTCAGGGTGAAATAATTTTGACACTCTTTATAAACAGAAAAACCCAATCACAAACCATTCACTCAACAAAAGATGACTGGAGTGTCACAACAATTTAGCAATTACCAAAGTAAACACATCAAGTACAAAACAATCCAAGTGAAGTTAATCTTTTAGTTAACATAAACATTCAGTGATTCAAAATTATGTAAACATTCTTACTTTCTCTTTGAGAAGAGTCTTGAAAGCTTCAATGGCTTCTTTCTTATTCTTGAAGGAAATGGGCTTTGTTTCCACTGGTTTGTCTTCATCCTCAGATTCTCCACTAAAAACAACAGGGAATATTATATGTTTATCACCTGCCATATCATTTCTACTTCACAAAACACAGGAACCAAGTTTATGTGAAACTGCCACCTTAGCAAAATTCTGTGAATTCATAATTCACAAACCCATTATTGTTTCTAATTTTTTTTT